CTCAGTCTCAATTCTCCCATCTCTAAGTAAGACTGATAGTACCAGTCTCTTAGCATGAAGATTTTATATGATCATACATGTAAAGAACATAAAATACTATTTGATACAGATTATTGCATTCAATGATTTCACTTCTTGTTGTTGGCTATTGTGTTCTTTTAGTTGATTATATTATTGTATTTTAATTTCACCTGAAGGGAGAAAAGGAGTAATACTACATTTGCCTAGTATTTATTAAGGGTAAACTAGATTAAAATCTATGCTTTTTATTACAATATTAAAGAAAACTGAGTTCTTCAATTAACAAACAAAACAGCTACAGATGAACATAAATAGTCTTCAAATTCTCTATACAAGTAATTGAAAAGGAAGAAAAAGAATTGGGTGTGAGAAGAAATATTAAAAGATGGTTGGGATTATAGACTCCATTTACTTTGAAAAATGTGGGAAATAGTAATTTTTCTTTTCTCATAAAAAAAAACTTTCCTTGAGGGTCTCTATTCTCGCTAATTTGAGACAATGATGATGTTACCTTGAATTAAGTCTACTCAGACATTTTGGCGTTTTGGAAACACATGGACTTTGAAGGAAAACAAATGTGTGTTACAACTCCAAATTTCTTCTTTACTAGATGTGTGACCTCCGACCACTTCCCTTAATGTCTCTGTATATCAGGCTCGTATTTTACAAAATGGAAATAGTAATTCATAGTTGTCTTGAGAACTAAATATTATGGTGTCTGTCCTGCAAGGTCACACATTTATTTATGCTACTTTCAGATATACAAAGGACACATCACCTCTTCATAGTCTATAACTGGCCTGAACTTTCTCTGGATACCTTCTCACTTTACTAGAGAGGAAAAAAAAGTAAAATCAGCACAATATGATATATTTGATCCCACTCAATTTGAACACTTTCTTTAGGTAACTAAATTTCCTTTGGAAGAATTGTTTTTTCATATTTCCTTCCTTTTCCCTGATTCTATCCAAAACAGGATATAGGAATGGGGAGGTGAGGAGCCTATGGTTAATTCATGAACCACTCCCCCCTCCATGGCTGAAGGGGGCCCATGGGTGTGTAACACAGTGGGAAGTTTTCCATTTACAGAAGAACCTGCCTAGGAGTTATAATAACTGTTACGTTTCATGCTAGCTGGCTCTAACCTCCTGAAACTGATAAGGAACCATGAACACTGAGTAACTCTGGGATGCTAGATCTCTCTTGGGCCTAATTAAAATATCTTCCTAATCACTGAAAAATCAAACTTGTTTTAACTAACTATGGGTCCAACTACAGACTCAATCTGTCTTACCTGGTATGTTCAAATAAACTCTCTCTAGTATTTAAAACCCCTGCCGTCTCCTCCTCAAAGATGTATGCAGTGAATTTTGTCACAGATGTATATTCTCTCGCATGATAGCATTTTTTTAACTTTGAGGGTATTTGTTTTATTTTTTGATAACATATTGGTATCATCTAAGGTAAGATTGGTATCACCCCATCTCTGACTCTTCTTGCAGAGTTTGCTGGGAAACTCTGCATGTGGAGCACTTTGAATCTGTCCTCTATTTCTCATATTCTAGTGGTCTTGTCTAACAATTTGGCCCCAGTGAGGCCCTGGGGCTTGCTGCAGACTCCATTTCCTTTCCTGGCTGGTGGTTTGCTATGCAGATGTCAGGCAAGGGACCCTTTACCTAAAACCTTGATGATCCACACTGCCAAGTTTCCCAGTCAGATTGTGCATTCACTTGCACATCCTTGCCTAGCACCCCTGGGAACATATCCCCCACTTCCATGTCATAGGGGAACTGGCATTGTCTCAGGAGTGCCTTCTGTTAGCCAATCCTACACACTAATATTTTTCCTTAGGTACCGTTGCCCATGTGTGGGTAATGGTGTAGCTTTCAGAGCTCCTAAAGGATGCAGGGAAAGAGCTCCTCTTCATCCAGTATTTCCTTTAACCTACCTATCTTCCCTTCTGGACCCACCCAGAGAGAGGAGGTTGTGACACACATCTTCTGCTTCCATAACTTCTCTCCCCTCATTCTTCCCACAATCCTTACTGATTGGATCAACATTTCTTTTAGTTTGATTTCCTATCAGACACAGATTTCTTCAAAGTCTTCCAGGGCCAACCTTATGACTTTTCCTAAAGGATGAGTGGAACAAGGAGAGACTAGCTTAATGACAATGGAACATAAATGAACAGGAATACAGGAAAGAGGTTAATATCACCATATTACATGAAATATCTGGATCATTTGCCAGTTTTGTAGAGAATTCTGTGAAGTGATAGAAAAAGCAATGCAGCACAGCTCAGCTGGGATAAATAACCCATGAGAAAAGAGGCTGTAAGAAGTTTGAGCCACAGAGATTCATTATTATTTTTTGAATGAATCTGGGCTCTACCATAGAACGTGGGCAAATTACTATAAAAAGCCTCCTCCTTTATGAAACTTGTTCTTCAGATTTTAAACCTCAGTGCATCGTATGATTTGTAAGAAAGGCCAAATGTTGCAATACAACTGATTCTAGCCCTTAAAAGAGAGACTCTAATTGTTAGTGTTGTAGGATAAAAACATATGCAATGCTGCCCGTGAATACCTTATCTGTGAAACAACCACAAATGAGCAAATACATATTTGGTACAATATTATGAATACATGTGCTATTTTGCATCTCTTAATACTATTTTAGGCAAATGAAGAGTTCAGTTAGCTACTTTACAGATCAACACTGACTGCAAATCATATCGCCTCGATGCCAGTCCAAACCAAATACCAACATAATCACTCTGAGATACGGGTGTTAGCCTCTTGCCTACCAGACATAGTATCGTTATTTTAATTAGGTAATGTGATCATTATATTATTACTGAATTTCCAGACAGCTTTTCTTTACCAAATCTCAAGCATTTCACATATATGAAATTCAAAGAACTAGCCCACAATAATTGTGAGGTTTTTTAAAATATATTACATACACCATCATCAGTATTTTCAGGATGCTTCCCCTAAAGGCTCCTGAACATTCCTTGGTCTCACTCATGGCCATAGATTTATCGTTTCTGGTCTCCTGGATCCAGCCTCTCTGAAAAAAATTCCTCCAGATTTAGTGCTGTTCTGTCTTTCCACCAACCTCTGTGTGTACCTCTTTCTTTACCATTAGCACACACTATTATCTGTTCACTGTTTACTGCATGAGAGTGACAGTCCCTCCACTGTTTCCCCTTTTATATGCACATTCTAATTACATGCTCTACCTTTCTTTTTCGGAAATGGCTTGTTATTTCCAGTCTTCCCAAGACTATACAAAAGTCAAATTATTATTTTTCTTTCATCTTAAAAATTTTGGGTTGCAAACTACACTAGAAGGGTGAGGCAAGGATAAAAATAGCAAATTGGCTACTAGGTCAGGGTCAAGAATATGTGCCACGGAATGAGGTAGAACTATTCAGTAATATGGCAAAGCATACCCTTTAAGCTGTCTAATCCAAAAGTAAAGGTATGTATTGTTAACTGGAAAGTATCTCATCTATAACATTTATTTTCTCCTAAAAAACCGCTTTTCTTCACACTTGGCAACCTGCCTACCAAGTTCCTTAGCCCTCCTTGTGTCCAACTTGGGTTTCCAGCACTGATTTTAATCCCCTTTCCACAGGTACTTTCAGATCTCAGCATGAGAAAATCCTCTGGGGGTCACCTAAAGACGAGATCATTTAGCCAAAGGAACATAAAATCAGAGCAAAGAGGTACCAATTTTGGAGCATCAAAGAATTTGAATTATGCTCCCTGTCCCCTCACCATCTTCCGATTTATCAAATTCCAAGACATTGTTTTCTGTTTTACCTCAGGAAATGTTGAGAGGCAGTAAAGAATATAGAGTTTGGAGTCAAACAGACATGAGGTTGAATCTTGATTCCATAACTACTAAATTATTTTGCAGGGAAAATTGTTTCACATTTTGAGCCTCAGTTTATTATCTATAAAACGGAAATAATCTCTGAAAGTATTGTTGTGCTATGGACTGGGGATATCTATCTGAAGTGTTTTTGGCACAAAATCAGGTACCTGGTATACATATAATTAGTGGTAGTTTTTTTTTAACTTCCCTCACAACCTTCTACTGCAGGACTCGCCCATACCTTAGGTCTAAAGTCTACCATTAACCTTTAAGGATCCCAGGGTTTCCCAGTTTCCAGGTGATCAGAGCCATATACTCAATATATTAAAAAAAAAAAAAGATAGCTAGTGCTCTGGAAAGTCTGCAAAGCAGACTTAATTCTTCATATAACAAAGAAAATTCTTATTCAAAGAGACTTAAACTGAAGGAAAAACATGTTTATTTGCCTGCCTTCCATGGATGTGGCCTGAGAGCACAGCCCATGATATCTGGGTTATTTTCTTATATGTTATACACTTCACTACTAGCATTTTCAAGATGTGCCCATTAAAGGACCCTGAACATTACTGGAGTCTCACTCATCACCATAATTCCTGAACTGTTGTTTCTAGTCTCCTGCCTCCAGATTCTCTATAAGAAGAGTTATATAAATAGGTTATAGAGCATAGCTGGAGAAATACAGAAATATTCCTGCAGACAAAGGTAGCCTAAATTTCTGAGAAATTATCAGTTCTATCAAAATCATTTTTATCAGTGATATCAATTATATGTAGACATCCACTGTTAATTTTCAATACTGCTACCATCAGGGACTAAGACCCTCAAGCAACTCAATATTCTGGGCTTTTCTTACCTCTTCCATAAAACTAGAGTTTGAGTTATGCAATCTCTAAGGTCCTATGAGGTCTCTTTCAACATCTGCTGTTGAGATGCTACTTCAATGATCAGAAGGGGCGTGGGAATTTACTAAGAACACAAGTAAGAGATTCAAAGAAACACGTTTTCTAAGCTATCTCCCTGCACGGAACTCTGCTTGTGTGAGCTCAAGACTTCCCTCACTCTCTTGTGTTCTACACTCAGAACTCAGGTATCTGCTCCCCAGCTGGCAGTTCCCTCTCTTTGGAATGAAGGATAAAAGTCAGAAAACAACTGAAGATCCTTAAGGAAATGAGATTGCCTAGAAGTGGGATGAAAACAGAAGGGAAGGTGGAGTCAGACCATCCAGGATAAGGCTCTCATTCCTGGATTTTTGAAGGAAAGGGAATTAGGCGAACTAGTTACCAGGACAACCTGCTGTTGGGGCAAGGAAATGGGAGATCTGTGGTTGCTCCTGCTCTTGCCCCTGTGTCTGGTAGCCTTCCATGGAGTCAAAGGCTGCTTGGAATGTGACCCCAAATTCATAGAGGATATTAAGTCTTTGCTGGTAAAGCTAGTACCCTCAGAAGTCCCTGGCCAAGCTCATCTTCTTGAACGTCAGATTAAGGAGATGATCCGTTTAAGCTTCAAGGTCTCCCACAGGGACAAGATGCTTCGAGTGCTGGGTGAGGGAAGCTGAACTCCCTGAGAGTTTGGAGGATTAAAGGGAGAAGGAAAGGAGGAAAGAGAGCACCTGGGTCCACAAAATTTCCTCCAGAGATGTAATTATTCTCCTACATGTACCTTTATCCTTTCTGTCTAGCTGTTCAAAAGGTTGTCAATTTGAGAACATGGCTGAAGAATGAACTTTATAAACTGGGCAATGAACCATGGAAAGGTGAGGTACCATTTCAGTGTTATAAGATTCCCTTGCCCAACCAAGTAAGAGAAAAATCCACTGGGGGAAAAACAGCAACATACTCAGGATTAAATTATGAAGAGAAAGGCTATCCCTATTTTCTGATGTCCCTTCCATCCCTTCTTAGGTGCCTTTATCCTTCAAGGCAAGCTTCTTGAAGTTCGCCGAACCCTGGAATCCAAGCTGGAAGAAATGTTAAAGAATTTCTCTGAAGTTGGTAATATAAGATGTCTACCTAACAACACTGAAATTATGTGAAAGGAACAGGAAATGAAGGATGAGAGGAGGAATGTGGTTTCATATTAGAGTGATTTAGAAAAGGTGGAGGGGTGGCTGTAACTTAATGGATAGCCAAATAAATGCTACTGGCATAAAATATGGCAAAATCTAAGTTGATTCTAAGCTCATTAGATCTTTCTGTTTCTCTTTTAGCTTGTTCTGAAGATTGTGGTAAGTACAGTATATGTGATGCACTGACGTGTTAGCTCATATTTTCCCACCTCCTTTGCTCTGTATGACTCTCTCTCTTCTACTTGTCATACTGAGAATGCAATTCCTAGAGCTTTGGCTAAAAGGGGGAATGTCAAAGATATCTAACAACAAAATGTATGAAATCTCAGATACCCCACAGACTGTAGATGTACTCAGAGGCCTTCTGTTGTATAGTTTAAAACCCACAGCACCAGTATAAGCTGAGGCATCATTTTCCTCACTTCTTCCCAGAGATCTGACTTAAATTATATGAGGTTTTGGTCCACCAAGAAAATTGATGGCTATGGGAAGAAGAAATTCACAGCAGCGTAACCAATGGAGATGCCTGAGATCTAATCTGTACTTGATGTCTGACATAAGGAAACACCATGTCACAGCCCCCTTCCAACTATTTTTCTTCTCTTTATAAGTCGTGACTGAAGGTCCTATCCTGGATTGTTGGACTTGTCTTCGCATCACCACCCGGTGCTTCAAAGGAGAGTATTGTGCAGGTAACAAAGATTGTAGTGCGGCATTTTTAAAGGCCAGGGATCACAGAGCGCTTCACTGATTCAATCAACAAATATTTGTTGAGCACCTTCTATGCAGGTCATACTAATGGTACAAATAAAAGCTAAGATGATGGACAAAATTCATACCAGTATAAATTACTGAGTATGGATAACTGAAGCACTTAGAAATGAAAAGACTGTACTAAAAGTGGAGAAATTAGGCTAGAAGCAAAAGGGGAAAAAGTTTCATAGAGCCTAGCAGTTTAAGAGTAATATGTAACCAGGGAATAGTGCTGTAAGTGGTGAACAGTGCAATTTTTATGGTTAAAAATAGTCTTCTATTATGGATAAAGTTCTCAAGTTACTAGTTTTCTCCAAAACTCACTTTCTTTTTCCCCCTTTCTTCTTCCAGAAGAGGATCCGAGGAAGGCTGAGAATCGAGAGATTGCACTATTTCTGATATTGCTAGCAGAAGGTGTAATACTGGGAGGTGCTTTGTTACTGTGAGTTTTCCTCCTTCCAAACAAATAGTGGATGAAGCATTCCTTTGGTAAAGAGACTGGCCAGTCTTCCCCCTCCTTCCAATAGAAATAAGGAGAAATAAATAAGTCATTTTAAGATTTGGGATATGATAATAACAGGAATGAAAGGGATGTAAGTTTGACAGGACAAAAGTTGGAATGTAGGCAACACAGGAGGTGTGATGAAGTATGAGAAAAACTTTTGTAGAGGAATTCAGAAAGGGAAGAAAAAAACAATTATTACAATTTTTTAAAGTGTTGGACTACTAATGGTGAAGTTGGGATTATCTTATTTCTTTACTCTAGATTCCATTTTTGTATCTCTCATCGGAGGAAAATGAAGGCAATAAGAAGGTCATTAAAGAAATACTTGGAGAAGAAACTTGAAGAGTTAATGGGGACAATAAATGAGAGGGAGAAAAAATTGGAATCAGACAATAAATACAGAGACACATCCAGGAGTTCATAATTCTCTTAAGTGTTGGTTCAGAGTAGAAAACCAGGAGTTAAGCTCTTCTGCAGTCATGAAGTCATAGTGTTCTAAAACTGAAGTTAGATTTTCCCTAGTAAAGATCCTTACTGATATCCTAAGGTAATGGAAGCAAAGAATTTACTTGAAGTGTACAGAAAGCAATGCTGGTATGTTGCAATGCACATAAAAGGTTACATGCTGCATGATAATAAAGAATGCCTGGTTGGTAACTCTCATTAATGTCTGTAATGAGGATAACTTAAATTTCTACGGTTGCTTTTATTCCCATCTTTTCATTTTGTTACTAGTTCCATACTTATTATTAGGTTCAATGTGGACAACTTTCTTTGACAATATATATCATTTAATCTTCATCATGATACCACACACACACAGCCCAAAATATTACTCCTGAGCTGAGATTTATCCCAATAATTTTTCCCCAAATCTATGCTCTGTAGTTGAGTTGGATATCAATGTCTGAGACTAGTTGCTCTTATTGAACACTTTTTATGTGTATAGTACCCTAATTAGTGATTTACATCTACTGTCTAGTTGAATTCTCACAATAAACTTTTGAGTAATATTGTTATTTACCTCTATGTTAGGGATGAGGAAACAATAAAAAACCTAACTTGAGGTCCCATAGCTATTAATCCAGGTTATAACAAACTCCTCTGATGGCTAACCTGTTCTATCCAAACCAGCTATTTGGAATTGACATCTATAGACATGTAGTTATGACTGATAGATTAATGGATAATAGATAGATAGATGGATTAATGGATAGATAGATTAATAGACAATAAATGTGGGTTTATTGTCATAATATATTCTTGATTATGGATAGTGCTGGCAAAACCTGTAATAAAACTGAGACCTGGCTAACTCTAAAATACATGAACTTTCCACTCTATTTTGTTTTCTTTTATTCTGGAAACTTATTTCAAAAGAAAAACATTACAGTTTAGCAGCAAGGGAATAATTTTAGGAGTCCTACTTCAGTAGTGGGCAGAGGTATTTGCAAATTTTTCACCTACTGTAGATCTTTGAGTGCTTGTTTGTTGTTGCTGTTGTATTAATGAAATATTGAATGAATAAGAATATACCTGAGGAGGATCTAAACATTAATATTTCTCAGTTGCTAAGTTTGAATTTCATGTTAAAAATTCCAAGGTAAGAATATTGCTGGCATCTACCATTTCTCAATGACTTAAGGTTTACCTCACTAAAAAAATCTTGAGACAAACTAATTTCATTCATGGTCTTTATTAAATTACCATCTTTATATTGTTCTATTTTTCATTATAGATAATTATATAAATAAGATAACATACTTGCTAGATTGTGTGTTTTTGTGTTTCTTTGTTTGTTTTAGTGTAGCCTTTTAAATTTCTTGTCCTATTGTCTTATTGTCCCCTCCCCACTCCTCTTCTACTCCATTCTCATCATTCTGTTCTAGAAAACCTAAATATGTCTTTCATTATTGGTTGTAACAGACAGATAATGGTTATAACAGACACAAACACATACATACAAATACATTTACACGTGCAATATTTTGCTGTTAAAAATTATGCACTTATGCAGGTTGATTTTTGCACTTACATACTTTGTGGAAATTACTTTAAGCTAATTGGTGCCAAAGTCTATTCACTCTTTTTTGGCAGTTGCACACAAAACTGTAGTGTGGTGGTACCATAATTATTCCAACACTCCTCTATTTTGGGTATTCTCTTCATTAGTTTTTTTTCAGTCACTATAAATAATGCTGCTATAAACATTTACTTATTGATTCTTCCATTTATAAGAGATACTGCTAAAGAATTGGAATATCAGAAGTGAAAGTATATGTAACTTAAAATGTTAATAAATGTTATAAAGGTGGTAATAATTTGCAAATATACCAGTAATAATCAATAGTTCATGTTTGCCACATCCCCACCAGCAATAGGTTGTACATATGTTTTAAATTTTGCCAGTCTGATAAATATGATAATTAATCCACTTTAATCTGCTAGTGTGTGGACATCATTTCAAATGACTCAGTGTCACTTGAATGGGCTCTACAATGAACTGCCTATTCCTATACTCGGATAATTTTAATTTGATTTGTTTTTATCTTATCAATTTAAAAGAGAAGAGAGTCTTTCACAATGAAGACATTAACTCTATCATCTTCCCCACAGACATAAGCATTGTTCTTACAAAAGCTATTCTTTCTTCAGTACTTAAGGTGTGGTTTTAGCTATTTATCTACCCATTTATTTCCACTTATAAGTCTTTAAACCTATATAACATAAAATAAATACGCTGATTTTTGGATATTCATTCTATATCCAGTCACATAACAAATTTGTTTCTTTTAATTTTTTAAACTAAAGTCTCTTGTATTTTCAAGTTATTCAATTGCATTACTATCCAAAGCAAATGTTTTGTATTTTCCTTTCTACAATTTACCCTATTTTGCTTTCTTATCCTAATGCATTGGCAAGAACGTCTAAGAAAAGGCTGAAAAATAATCAACAGTTATTATTTTAGTAAGAATGAGAATTCAATCACTATATAACTACAAGTCTTAAAACAGCAACTATCATGGAAAGTTAACACATTAACTCCTAAATAAAATGTAAATTATTATATCATTATTATTATTCCATAGCAACCTGAAACTGTATTAAAGACCCATTATGGTGGCTTCTTTGTAATTAAAAACTCTAGTTCTCTAAAGAACTCTATTATGCAAGTGTTTTTAGATAAAACCGCTGCCTTGAAAAGGTCAAATCTCAAATTCCTCCATTAATTGGTTACATTGTTTCAAATAAGTTAGTTGAATCCTCATCAGTAATATGGATTATTTGTCCTTCTGGTCTCAGAAAATGCAAAAGACTGTCCAGGACCCAGGAAACAAAATACCTTGGAAAATAAGAAAGAAATCCCAGGGAAATATCACAAGGAAGAAAAATTTTTTCCCCTTAACTGCCTCAGCTATTAAGGATCACATTATTTCTCTTAATGGTCTGAGAGTTTATGTAATAGAGGTAGGAAAGGATATAAAAAAACTTATAAAGAGATATTAATAATATAATTAAATAGTGACCATAAAATAAATGAAACTATGTGTCTAAAAAGATAGAGGAATTAAATATTTCTGTTAAAAAAAGGAGAAAACAAAAAATAAGTGATAGATGGGAATAAACTGAGATAAAAGCAGTAGTTGTTAAGTGTGTGTCATACATACATACAGTAACTTAATGCTTTGTTATGAAATATTTGAGATTTGAGTGTTGTTCTTAAGGGATGAAAATAAAAAATTCACATTTCAAAGATAGAAAATCCATTGATTTAAAAGAATTAATAAAAAGCAAGGTACATAGCAAATAGAAAACACAAAAATAAAAATAAAAATAAGTGAAACAAATAACATTAGTTAGAAGATCAGATTATCAGAGTGAATAATTTAAAATCTAATCATAAGCTACTTAGATAAACAGAAAACAACATGACAACTTGAATGTGAAATAAAAAAGAAATATCAAGCAAAACCAAACCAAAATAAAGCAGGTGTTGCATTATTAACATCATTGTAAGATAATTTAAGTCAAAGATCATTAAAAAGAATATGGAATTATATTATATAATGACAAAAATAATAAATAAACCAGAAATATACAACAATAAATTGTATGAGCCTAACAATATAACATTGATATAAAGGAAAAAAATTGACACAATTTCCACAATCAGGATGGGAAAGTTTCATACACCTGACAGAATCTAATAAAACTAAATAAAAAATGTTAATACAGTTACAAATTTGTAGAACGCAGTAATTGTCTTAAATTGTTAATATTAGTTACATTAAACCCTGCACCCAACTAATATACAGATTTTCTTCTTTCTAATACAGATGGAGTATGTATAAAAATTGACAATGTGCTTGACTTGGCAGACAGTTGCTACTGTCTAACTAAATTCCCATTCCTCCTGGATACGTGGCTAGACTACATTTCCCAGTCACCCCTGCAGTTAGGTATGGCTATGTAACTGAATTCTAACCACTGGAACGTAAGTGGAAATGATGTAGCTGTTTCCAGGTCTGGCAAAAATATAAACTTAAAAGGACAATCTTCTAGTCTCTTTTTTCCCTGTCTAACAGTAATATGTCAATATTAGAATATTAAGATGCTTCTTATTTGGTGCATCTGTTTTGTATTTTATAAAGCTTTCATTTGGAACCTTACCAAACTGCTGAGATTTTAGGATTAGCATTATGTATTTACATAATTATGTAATACATAGGTCAAAAGAAAATTTAAACAAATTCCAAAGTATCAATATTACAAAGAACAATTTTAAATCATAGGGAATAAAATTAAAACCTAAAACAAAGGATAAAAAAGTATTTTATACATTTATAAAGTAAAAACCGAATTATAAATAATTCATTGAATCTTTATTATTTTTTATTTTTATTTATTTTACTTTCATTTCATATATTTTATATTTATGTTTATTTTTATTTATATTTTTCATTTTTTATTATGAAACTACAAAGCATTTAGGTCCTCCACCTGACTGGCTATGGTTCACACTGGCCTATGAAGAGTGATCACAGAACTCTTCAGCAAAGCTGGGGCTTGCCTCACAAACTTACTCCTCAAAGTACTGGTGAAAAGTACGTCTTCTGGACCCCTCTCACTGATGGGTGAGTGAGCCATTTTTGCTGAGGGTGGAGAGACATTTTCAACTGACAAGAAAGACTCAACAAAATGTAAAAGTTCAATGTCCTGAGCTTCATCAAGGGCTGCCCACTTATCCCCAACTTACGAGATCCCATTCTTTTCTAATTAATGCTCTGACTTTAACAATAGACACTTTACAAGCCTTGGATTCAATTTGTATTGTAATTCAGCAAACAGCAGGATAAAGTTCTGTGTTTAGCTGCCAGCAATTCCAACCCTGCAGCTACAGGAGTTAAGGCTCTTCCTCAGAGCATACCTAGAAGCTCCTAGGTCATATGCAGGGTTTGAGCTGGGAATTTCAATCCCTGAGCTCATTCTTTCCTTTTAGCATTTTGTCCAGCAACAGAGGAGCAACCAATCAACACCGTTACATTCCTTAGTTTTCAAAAAATATTTGAAAGCATCGTATACAGAATCACCTAACATGCTTCTTGTAAGTGGTTGATTAGGCATATTCAATAGAGAGATGTTTTATGAAACTCTAT